AGAACCATGCCAAGAATGACTCTGCAGGTGACTTCACTGGATTGGAGATTATTAAAAGGATGTTACTCCTGTTAGACAAAGTAGTTAAGCATAAACCATTTGCTCCAACCAAAAGCTTCTCGCGTGGGAGCCGTACCACGGCGGAGTCGGCCGGGAGAAGCTTTCGGAGAGGAATGTTTCCTTCTGTGATGCGGTAACCGGTGTCTTATAGCAGATGTGTTGGAAAAGCTGCAGGTACAGCGGACATCACAAACCACAGAGGTTTAGCTTTTGCAAACGGTTACACACGCAACCCTGCGTGTTGGAGGTGGATGACTTATTATTACGATGAATGGAGGATCGGGATTTTGCTGTTGGATGAAATCAGGAAATGGAGAAGAAACCCTTCGTGTCGTTTGAGTGGTCAATATACTGTATACACATTGTCATTCATTGCTCTGTACGGAAGACAATGACATTTAGTTGAAACATCGCAACAGAAATGCGTGCTGCATCGTAAGCGCCATGAACAAACCGTGGGGTGATACAAATACCGCTGATCACGATAAAAGTTTGCGAGACTGGGATCGAAAATATCTGCAAATTTTTTCGGTGCTTGCAGTTCAGCACTTAGCTTCATTTCGGTGCCATCCGCAAAATTTCTGTGCTGGATGTCATTTGCCATGTGAAATGGTTATTCTCCTGGTTCGATCGAAAAGTCGCGAGCAGCGATATCCGTATGGTAGAACGATGTATGCAGCGTCTCCATGAAAAAGGTTAGTGAAAGCATGGAAATGGCGGCGACTCAGTGCACAACTCCACGAAAGAAATATGTATGATATATCGCCCATCAGAATGGTGTAACGGCGATCGATGTCCTAACGGTCAAAGACTTAGTTTTCACTCCCTCTCTAACAGTGGATTAAACTGTAAGTTTAGCGGCCTCGAACCCGGATCCTGTACTCCAGAAGGCCACCAACGCAAGCCTTTGCGTTACGCCCCCCCCCCAGCCACACATTAGCACAGGCATTAGCAGCGAATAAACAGCGCGCTATTCGCCCCTTTACCCAAATGCACTAACACCGAACATGATGCTGCTATGACGACGTCGATTGGCAGCGCCAGGGCTGCACGTTCTTAGACATAGTGGCTGATAGAAACAGCTGGTCGGATTGCGCTCGAGCGATGCTTCTTATTGCTTATACCTTAGGTTCGACAATTCTGTCATGCGTATGCAGATTTTCGGGCCAGATGAATTCAGATCATGTTAGTCATGACAATATTGCATAGTTATTATTCTAATACAAATATTAAGATATCCGTTCGTGCGCTGAAACGTGTTAATTGGTGCACAACTCCAAAACCAAATTCCTCGCCGCCTCCTGCTCCTAGTTGCCTAGCAGAGGGCATTTAAGCAGGCCTTGACTCCTTGGTATTTGAGCGCCTGCAGTACTAGACGCATCTCGCATCATTTTGTTCGCAAGAACAACTTATGCTCATCGCAAACGATGCTTCAGGAGTTGATATTGATATGCTACTCAGGCATTGTGGGTGCTCAAATGCCTTGAAGCAGAAGCGTCCTCTCCCAGGCAGCTAGGAACAAATGGGCGGTGCCCTATGCCGTTTCGTTCTGACATGTAATCTCTAACTGCGGTCGTTGTTCATTTTCAACCAGGTTTGCGCCAAGCGTTACTACTCTCTTGGCAGCCGTTGAGTAATGCCTCTCTATACCTGATGTATACTGGTATTAAAAACCGTTCCAAAGTTACGGAAATCTGACTAGCCGTGTACGACACGATTTTTCACTTTATATGTAATCACCTGCCTCTCTTTATCTTATTCTCGTTAGCTAGGGTTTGCCGTACGATTCCTGCTTGCACATTCTCTCACTCTTGGTCAAGACCTGCCTCAGGAGCTACCCATAACCAACGTGTTTTGAGCATGGTTCTTCCAGTTAACGCACGTGTGCCCGTCTGTGAGTATTCGCATTGCAGCGTAACCTCACATCTGTTTATTGTGTCGTTGCGTTTTGCCCTACTAATGTTTTGGGTTCCCCGTTGGCCCTGATCCTTCCGTTCAGCTTGGTGGTCATTTTCTTTTCACACAGTTCACGTACATGAGATATTGATTCATGTTTCAAATATGCTCATGGCAGCAGTAGCAACCAGAAAACCAGATCTCGAATCGTCAAAAGTCAATCGTCGTGTCAGATACTTTTTATTATAGCGTATGAAGGCGATAAACAAACAGCGTTAGTACTTCCTTAGGCTTAAAAACATGGGATAAACAGTAAACCGATGTTCCACTTTTCGAAAGTCGTGATTTCATGCATTCGTTTGGCCTGTAACTGTTCATTTCCATAAATGTCCTCAATTTCAGCAAAGTTTTCCTATCTGATTTGGAGCGTCAGCTGATCAACTGGCACATAGCAAACCTGGAATTCGCTAATTCGGCTCCGATTACAAAGCTGTCGTTGAACCACTGGGATCAGGATGACGAAAACGAGTTTGTCGGCCAGCATCTGTCTGGTAAGCGTTGTTGCGGAAACGGTTTATTTGCTCGTCGCAGTCGCGTTAATGAAATGGACGCCGTGTCGTGTTTACGTTGACCGTCCGTTGCAACGTTTAATGTGTTGAGCAAAAAGTACACTTATACTTTATCACACAAAATCACTTGGTACCACAGTACCGTATATATCACTGTAGTGAGACGCGTCGGATGCATTTTGTACGTCGTCGTGTTTCGGCTGTGGCATGGCCGCCATCAGATTGTCCCAAAACATCGGATCGTTCCAGTGAATGCACCGATTCGTTCTTAAGTAGTGAGCAAGAATCGGCTCAGTGTCCGACGGAATGTCGTCGAGCACGACGAGTACCAGCTTTCGCTGCCGGTTTCGCAGCAGGTACTTGTACGAAGTTCGAATCTGCACCTGTTCCCATTCTCGCCTCATAAAATTGTCCGTTAGCACGGTGATCACTCTCTGACTCTTCTCCATGGCCGTCATCAGCTCATCGGCCATGCAATAGCGGTTGGCAAACGAATCGGCGGACAAGTCCCGGTACAGCATACAGATGCGAAAGTACGGCGCTTCCTGTTCCAGCCGGCTGACCAGCTCGTCACGCACGAACTTCTCGTCGTCGATGCTGTAGCTGACGAACGCGTCGTAATGTATCAAC